TCTAATCCAAAGAAACAGAAAGTAGGTTAGTGTGTTCCATGAGTTGGGGTTGAGGGGTGATGGAAAATAACTGCTAATGGGTATGAGATTACCTTTTTGGGGTGATGAATATATTCTAAAATTGATGATGGTTGCAAGATTCTATAAACTTAAAACTTTTGACTCATACCTTAAAAGAGTGTCTTATGGTGTCGCACATTATATCTCAATAAAGCTGTGAATTAAAAAAAACACTACTCCCAAACATCCATCTAGCTTACGTACATGTGTGGAATCAACAAATTAACACATGCTGCCAAGGGAAAAAGAGGTTCGAAACGTTGGCTTATTTCCCTGGGCCCCCACCCTTCCTCTGACATGACTTCACATAGATGTTTTTATATTTTGTCCAGCTTTTCCAATTATCCTCAGCTGTAGGATTTCCCAGAATTCCTGGTCTGTGATTGAGGCCTTGCTGGCAAGCTTAATTTCATCTGTGGTTTTATTTAAAATCTGTATTTAGATTTGTTTTTCTAGTCCAGCAGTTCTCAGATTTTCTGGTCTAAGGAAACCTTAAGTATTACTGAGTTTTTTGTTTGTATAAGTGTATATCTATCAGTGATTATTATCATATTAGATTTTAAAACAGAACATTTTATATTTTTAAATTTTACCTTCAAATACTAATAAGCTCAGTACATGTGAATAACAAAAATCACATTTTAAAGGTCACAGTCACAAAAAGATAAATACTCTATGATTCCACATATATGAGATACTCAAGAGTAGTCAAATTAAAGATAAGTACTTTCAAAATGTTTGGTGATGTTTGTTTTACATTTCAGTAAATGGCTGTGATGTTTGGATTAGTAAGAGGCGAGGGAATGGCCTGCATTTAATTTACTGTGGTGTCACACATCATTTACTTTCTGGTGAATATTTGTGAGAGAATCAGAGTGAAAATGCCAAGTGATGTAGTGGTATTGTGAGAATAGTTTTGCCTTTGTGGACTCCCTGAAATGACTTAGGGACTCCTGGATGGGAAAGGATTGGAGCCCAGAGCACACACTGGGAACCACTGCTGTGGCCCATAGCATTCGTCAGAGCTCCGGGACCACATCTCCCGCTGCCTGCGAGGCTGCTCTAGTGCTGGGATGTCTCATGGGCCACTGCAGCCTGACATGTGAGTCTGAGTGCCAGGGTCGCTTTCCATTCACGTGTGAAAATCAAAACCAAGCTGTTCCTGACACTTGCGTTAGCCTTTAGCGCTCATGATTAGTAATCACCTGATGTTGACTTTATCTGTTATTTGGCCTGAGGTTGGAGAAGATTAAACTCAGCTGTAGTTGATGCGGCCCCTGTTGCTTCTAATGTGACTCTGGCTGTGGCTGTGACCACTAGCCGTGTCTGACTCTGAAGACAGAAGGTAGTGGGCCACGGTGTTACCTTTGGCATCAAAAGTTGCAGGCAGCCAGCTATACGATGTGTGAGTGTATAGGTTCTTTGAGCTTCTTAGTTCCACCGTCACTTCCCTTTTCTTAGCAGAATTGGGAGAATCTTAGGGTGGAGTTATCTGGAGCCAGTGATTATTTGGGAACTCTTCCAGAATTTAGCCTGCCCTTATTGCACCTACCGTTGCCAGTATCTTGCTGGCCTCCTCTTCCTCCTTTTTTTCCCCAATTTTTCTTTTTTAATTGCTGTACTGGGTATTTGTTGCCTTGTGGACTTTTTTTTCTTCTGGTTGTGGTGAACAGGCTTCTCCCTGAAGTGGCTTCTCTTGGTGCAGAGTGGGGCTGTAAGCGCCCAGGCTTCAGTCGTTGTGGTGCATGGGCTTTTGCTCTGCTGCATGTGGGATCTTCCCAGACCAGGGATGAAACCCGTGTCTCCTGCACTGGCAGGAGCATTCTTTACCACTGAGCCATCAGGGAAGCCCCCATTTTCTTTTAATTAAGTAAAATACATATAAAATTTAACATCCTATCCCTTTTTAAGTATAACATTTTAATGGTAGGAAATACATTGATAATGTTGTGCAGTCATCTCATCATTCATCTCCATAGCTCTTTTTATCTTGTAAAACTGAAACTCTCTTCATTGTTTCCCATGCTCTCCCACCCTCTCCCCTGCCCGCCACCTTTCTATTTTCTGTCTCTGATTTTGACGACCCTGAGTATCTCACATCCATGGAATGATACTCGCTTGTCTTTTTGCAACTGGTTTGTTTCACTTAGCATAATGTCTTCAAAGTTCATCCATGTTGTAGTACATTGCAGAATTTCCTCCCTTTTAAGAGCTGAATAATATTCTGTTGGATGTATATGCCACATTTTGCTTACCCATTCTTGTGTTGATGAACACTGGGGTTACTTACATCATCACACAGGTCAGTCTCCAGTTGTTTACTTGCCCCTTGGCTAGTCACAGTCTAGAACTTTGCTCATGCTCTACCTGGAATCCTTTTACCCTTCTTTGCTGACTGAAGTGTCTGCTGATTCTTTCACTGAGGTTCACATATTCCTCCAAGGCACAAATATCTTATACTTCTCTGTTCTCATAGCATTTTATTTATACCTTTGTTATATTATTTATAATGTCTTGAGAGCATTTACTTTTATGTGTCTGTCTCCCCAGTTTTAAGTTCCACTAATATTTGAAAGGTATCAAGATAATTTCTGGGCTTCCCTGGTGGCTCAGATAGTAAATAATCTGCTTGCAGTGGCAAGAGACAGGGATTCGATCGCTGGGTTGGGAAGATCTCTTGGAGAAGGGAATGGCTACCCACTCTAGTATTCTTGCCTGGAGAATCCCATGGACAGAGCAGCCTGGCCAGCTATGGTCCATGGGGTCGCAAGAAGTCGGACATGACTGAGCAACTAATACTTCGCACATCCTTTCAAGATAATTTTTATGAGACTAGCACAGTGGCACATATCTAGTGGGCATTAAGTGCTTGTTCAGTGAATGAATGTAATCACACATAAAAGAACATCTCAAACCTTCAGCAGATACTTATTTTCTCCTTGACCCTCACCACTGTATTTAGTGCTAGAGACACCAGGCCAACAAGCACAGTCCTGCTTTCAAGATATTCATGGATTTATTGTTTCCTGTACTTACCCTAGTACTGAAGTGATTTGATATGTATATTTACCATTAATGTTTCAGTGTTGTGACTCATCTCATATTTCGACCCTCCTCTATCATAGTCTTACCATTTATGAAGTGAGGAGGGTGGGCTAGATGACCTAGAAAAGTTACCATTGTTGGCTGTTACTGTATTATTAGATTTTAATGCTCCTTGGTAACAGGCATCATGACCTTCACTCTTACTGGAATCTTACGTAGGACCAAGTACAGTGTCTCACCCTCAGTGGTTGGCTGCTAAGTCACTTCAGTCATGTCTGACTTTGTGAGACCCTATGGACTGTAGCCTGCCAGGCCTTTCTGTCCATGGGGGTCTCAAAGCAAGAATACAGGAGTGGATTGCCAGGGTTAGCAAATATTAAAGAAAGACGTAATATCAGTGAATACTTCAGTTGAATTTGATTCTGTTTTTCACTCCATTGATCCTGTTAGATCCCTTCCCTGTGCTTCAGAATATCTGTATTTCCTTGATCTAGTTTGTGTTCAACTTTTGTATTCATGTATACACACGCTTTATCTCTCAGTCCTAAGAAGAAGAAGGTGAGGTGATCATTTACCTCCATTTTTCAAGTGGGGAAACAGTCTTCAAGACTATAGCTGAGGAGCAGCATATGCAGACTCAACCCTAGGTCTCCTGACCCCAGATCCAGTATCATACTTCTCTGTTTCCTCACCTGTGAAATCAGGGTTTCTTTCAGATCTCAGTGCCTATGTTACCCAGCCTTTAACACAGTGTATCAAGACTCTGTAGGAAGTCACAGAAATGTTCTCACTTTAGCAAAGTGGAGATTAGTTGGTAAGATCATGAAGAGCCTCAGGGAATTGGTGAGAAGGTCGAGCGTCAAACTGGGAAATGGACAGGAGTTCTAGAAGCAGGGACCTGAAAAAGCACCATCAAACTCCAGCTGTTTCTGGTTCTCTGCCCAAGAGTCAGAGTGAGGGAAAGGCATTCTGCTGGCGTGGCTGGAATCATCTCTTGTCTTTTGGTTAGCGCAGTGATTCTCAACTGGGGACAGTTTTGTCCTCCCACTGGGAAACCTGGAGACATTTTGCGTTATAACTGGGAGAGAGAGCTACTGGCATCTAGCGGGTAGAGGCCAGGAATGCTGTGGAACGTGCTCTGGTGTCAGCCCCCAATAACAGAATTCACTGGTCCCACACATCAGTAGTATTGAGGCTGAGAAGGCCTGGATTAGGGGGAGCAGCTCGATTAAAATCCCACCAGACTATCCTATTGGAGTCAAAAGAACACTAAAATGCTCTTATAAAAAAAAAAAAAAGAGTGGAATAAATACTAGACAGAGAAAAACAAGATAAAAAAAGGACTACAACTAGGGCAATAATTCCAAGGTTGTAAAGAATCAGATATGACTGAGCGACTAAGCGCACACACACAGAGAATAATTATTTAGTAAAGGATCCTTGTATTAGCAACTTTGGATGTTGTTGATACAGAGAAATACCAGGTTGGTGGGTCTGTAGCATGTGCAGTTATGTGTTAGAATCTCTTCAACATTTCACCTTTTTCTTTGCGTAGACAGTAATTTAGTGTTAAATCCAAGTAGACGGAAGATTGATTCAAGCCTGTAATTTTCCTTCTTTTTAACTTTGTTCACACCGTTTCAGTATAAGCCTTGTGTATATGACTCAAAGCTTGCTTATTTGGTTCCATATTTTATAACACCTTGGCTGTGCCAGACCTGTTTTACTACCCTGATGAAGTCTGGAAATGACTAGAAGCTGCCTTTCCTTGCCCTTCCAACGCGATGGCTTCGGGCCCTGCCACGTCTCCAGGTTGCTCACTGAGTGAGCTGCCCTCTGCTGGTGGCCATCAGCCCTCGGGCCACGCGGTCCACCTCAGCAAGCTTTCGTTTCAGGTGAACCACTGCCTCCCGGAGAAGATTGTGGTGTACCGTGATGGAGTGTCTGATGGCCAACTAAAGACAGTTGCCAGCTATGAAATTCCTCAGCTCCAGAAGTGTTTTGAAGCTTTTGAGAATTATCATCCCAAGATGGTGGTGTTTGTAGTGCAGAAGAAAATCAGCACCAACCTGTACCTGGCTGCCACTGAGAACTTTGCAACGCCCTCCCCTGGGACTGTGGTAGATCATACAATAACAAGCTGTGAGTGGTGAGTGGGCGAAACACGTATTTCCACAAGAATAGGTTGGGGAAGTTCTCCATTCCCTGGGTATTGGAATGGGGAGGTGGCCTAGAGAGATTTGGAATGAAATCCTCAAGAGATTTTCCTGGTAAAAAATAAAATTTTAAGAGCAATTTAGAAAACACATAATCCACCAATGAAGCTTTTACCTTTTAAGTATAAAATATTGAGCATACATTCTTTTCCTAAGAATATGCATGCTTAATCTTCTGCACACAGATGTGGTCGTTTCTACCACCACTTTTAAATAGCCTGTTGAGTCAGGAGACCTGAATTCTCATCCTGGTTTGGTCTTTGTGATGTCCTTAATCCAGTCATTTGACCTCTCTGAGCCTTGGATGAAGAAGCATCTCCAGCTCTGTAACTATACCATTAGTTTGTACTTTTTCCTTACTAGGGTGGACTTCTACCTTCTTGCCCATCATGTGCGGCAGGGTTGTGGCATTCCAACCCATTATGTTTGTGTTCTCAACACTGCAAACCTGAGCCCTGATCATATGCAAAGGTGAGCTGACCAGTAACTTACTCCTAACTTGTGAGTAATTCTGGCCACTGAGCTAAGTCTAAGACCTGGAATTTAAAAAACTCTGAATATTTGGCTTAATTCAACAAATCACTGGTTTGGGCTTAATAATTTTCTGATTCTCTTTGAAAGCATTTTTTTTCTGAAAGCATTTTGAATTTATATTTTGGAGTTGGATTTACTAAGACTCATTTTCTCTTATATAATCAGAAAAGACAAATACTGCCTGCCCCCTTACCCCTTGAGTTTCTTTATGTCTTTGATGATAATGATATATCTTTTCGAGGAGTGATTGGTAATCATTGTTGTTTGCTAAAATTACTTGAAGACCTTTCAAAAAATTACAACCAGGCTTCACCTCGAAGCATTCTGAAGCATTTGTATTTTTAAAAACTGCTTCCAGTGACTATGACACATAGCCAAGTTTGAGACCCATTGCTCTTGAGCTCAGAGTAAAGAAGTAGTTTGCTGGGGTACTTCTCTTTCTGCAGCCTTTTCTTGAGACAAGAGAAAAAAAAATGTTGTTTTCCTTGTTTTGATATAAAAACAGGAGCACCTAAATTGGGAATTTCCCCATGTCCTCTTGACTTAAAAATAGTGGAAATAATAATTCCAAAAAGAGTCCTCAGTCCCCCAGTTTGCTGGTAAATATGCTGTGTCATGTACCCAGAAGGACATAATCGCGCTCCACACTGAAGATGGAGAGTGATAAGGCTCATATTTTCTTCTTGGCCTACAGGTTGACTTTCAAACTGTGCCACATGTACTGGAATTGGCCGGGTACCATTAGAGTTCCAGCTCCTTGCAAGTATGCCCACAAGCTAGCCTTCCTGTCAGGACAAATCTTGCACCATGAACCAGCCATCCAGCTGTGCGAGAACCTGTTCTTCCTGTGACTGGACCGTCAGGACACGGGCCGGTCAGAGCAGGCAGACTTCTGAGCTCAGCTGTGAGCGCATCTGCGCAGGGTCCCCAGCGGCCGGAAGGGAGTTCGTGTTGGCGTTTGCTCTTTCACCAACCCAGCAGAAGATCTTTCTTTTCATTTTCTTTTCTCTTTTAAGTCCGTTAACACTGAGAAGCAGGTTCCATCATAAATTTCAGCTAGAAATTGTCTTGTTGCCTTTGCAGAGCAAATGGGGGTAGTGTGCTACAATATAGATGGGGTGGGTGGAGATGGGTGGCCCTCCAGGAGCCTGCAAAGCTGACAGAAGCCATAGAGACCTGAAGAAGCAGCAGTTACACTTACAAACTCTGCTTACGAAGCAGTTCCCATTTCTGGTGCCAGAGCTGGTAGTGAATGAAGTCTCTGCAAAGTTCTTAAAGTAGAGAGCTACTGTATTTGGGCAACTGGGAAAGGTAAGAAGGCAAAGTTTCTCAGGATTTGGCTGTTGCTGGCAAATGTGAAAGACATGTCGCGAAAGCAGCTGGTGGGTCCTTTTCAGACTCTTGCTGACCGAGTCATCTCTAGGGATTGAGTTGATGACAGGTGACTTGAACTAGCTTTGGAAAGGGTGTTCAGTTCTTTCTTGCCTCCTGAGAGGACAAACGCAGCTTTATCTGGATATTTCAGTCGCTTCATAGTGTGCAGTGCTGCTGTCTCCTTTGCTCCTTGTCCTTGCTACTAACCTTTGGTAAGTTTCGGTTGTTAGACCGAGACTCGGGGCGTGTGAAACTGAGCAGCTTTGAAGGCTCATGACAGGCCGTGAGCTTCTCTTGGCCCTTTCTCCACCGCATGCCACTTCCTTTGCTGCTGATGTGTGCAGACTGAACTACTCCCTTTCCTTGCTCAATGCTCTCTTCCCGGCTGCCAGCTCATTTTGTTAGGGGTTTCTCTGAGTCTGCATTAAGATTTCCAGAAGTTGGCTTTGGGAAACATGACCCTCCTTCCAAAGTCCAGACGTTTCAGTTTAGAGAGTTGTCACTGTGCCTGCAGGTTTCAGTGCTTCGTGTGTGTATGTTTATTTTTCCGCTGTTTAAAAATCTTCCAGTCTCTTCAGGACTAATTCAGTCTTACCTTGTTTTATCTAGATTTTTAAAAGCCAGTTTTATTTACCATTTTTGAATTTGTATTTATTTGTGTATTTTATTTTATTTATTAATATATTTTTTGGTGTGGTGGCAGGGAGGGACGGCGCAGAAATTCTCATTTTATATGACAGTGTATGAGAAGAGAAACTTTAGCTTAAAACTTCTTAGATGAAGAAAACCAACCTAGCATTGCGCTGGCTGCAGCATGAGGCAGAGGCTGAGCAGCCGTGGGGCTGGTGGTCTCATGCGCTTCCGGCTGCATGTGGAGTGAGGGACAGCGAAGGGCTGAGACCTGGGGTTTAAACACCGCAGAATCAGGCACACTGGATCACTGGTTTTAGGCTTAACAGTTCTCCAGTTCTCTTTGGAAGTATTTTGAATTTCTCTTTTGAAGTTAGATTTCCTAATGCTCATTTCTCTTAGATAATCAGAAAAGACAAATACTTGAGATAGCATAAATATTTCTTCACTTTTTCCTCCTGGTTTTCTTTCCTTGTTATTTCAGTCTTAATGTGAAATGACTGGGTCATGGCGTGGAAAATAAAAAGAAATTTGTATATATGTGTAGTTGCATTTGTAATAATGTTGACATATGGTAGCGATACAGTTCTTTTTCGTCATGAACCTGCAGCACTTGTTGGAGTTGTTAATTTGTTACTGGGCATGCTGAGGGCAGCTGCAGTATTGGTACTCAGGTAATTTCACTGAAATCTGGCAGTAAGATTTCTTGAAGAAGATACTAATAGTCTGTCTTCTGGGACAAATGAGGCACCTGTTGTGTGTGTGTGTGTGTGTGTGTGTGTGTGTTCTGTCTTGTTTTCAAAACTCTCCCCATCAGAGAATTTCCGTCAGCCTGAGTGAGAGCCAGCTCCTGACGGCGGCCCTTCCCTCCCGCCTTTTCCTGGTGCTTGTCCTTCTCTGCTGTGCTTCACGGCGTGTCTGTAGCCTTTTTAAGTGCCTTGCCAAAGAACCCTGACTGCCTCCTTCACCACTGCATCCTGTTCTGTTTATTTAGAAACTCCGTCTTCAGGGATTCAGTGCTTCTTGAACTCATCCTTAAAAGAATCTAATTTAGCCTCTTTTTACTTGAGCAGCATTTTATTGAATGGTATGAAAAGGGAAGTAGTTTTATAAATGACTAACTCTTCATATTGAAAATGTTATAACTTGTGCCTGAAATTTCTCAGTGATTTGGGATAATTGGAGAAAGACCCTACTTTCTTTTTTTTTCCCCCAAACCTAGCTTTTTCTGAGTGTCTTACCTTTCCCTGTCTAGACTTATTTTCTCTCTTTAAAAAAAAAAATGAGGAAATTCAAGAGAATGAGAAAAAAAAGCCACAGACGAAAAGAAAATATTTGCAAAAGACACATCTGAGGGGCTCCCTGGCAGCCCAGTGGCTAAGACTGCTCTTCCACTGTAGGGGCTCGAGTTGAAGCCCTGGTCAGGGAAGTTCTACATGCCGTGAGGCGCGTCAAAGGATGAAAAAAAAAACGGACATCTGATAAAGGACTGTTATCCAGAATATACAAAGAACTCTTAAAATTCAACAGTAAGAAAACAACCTGATTAAAAATTGGGCAAAAAGACCTGAAGAGATATTTCATCAACTAAGATATACAGTTGGCAAATAAGCATATGAAAACATGCCCAACGTCATATGTCATTCGAGAATTACAAATTAAAATGAGATACCACTGCACGCCTCTTATTAATAGAATGGTCCAAATTCAAAACACTGACCATTCCAAATGCTGGTGAGGATGTGGAACAGGAATTGTCATTCATCGTTGCCCGAGGGAATGTGAAATAGTACAGCTGGTTTAAAAGACAATTTGGTAGTTTCTTACAAATCAAAACATACCCTTATCATATGATTGAAGTAGTCACACTGCTTGGTATTTGCCCAAAAGAGTTTATAATTTACATCAACACAGAAACCTGTGCTGGATGTTGATAGCAGCTTTATTCTTTCATAATTGCCAAAACTTGTAAGCAAGCAACCAAGATGTCCATCGGTAGGTGAGTGGATAAACAAACACTGGTACAGGAAGACAAAGGAGTATTAGTCAGTGCTAAAAACTAATGAGCTATCAAAGCCATGAAAAGACCTGGAGGGTACTTAAATGCATATTACTAAGGAAAAGAAGCCCATCTGAAAGTGTTACATATTGTATGATTCCAACCATGTAACATTCTGGAAAAGGCAAAAACTATAGACAGTAAAAGGATCATGGTTTGGGGAGAAGGAGGGATGAATGGGCAGGGCAGTTTTAGGGCAAGGAAACTATTCTATAGGATACTGTAATGGTAGATACATGTCATTATGTATTTGTCCAAACCCATAGAATGTGAAACACTGAATGAAGCCTGATGTTCCTTGAACCTTGAGTGATTATGACAAGAAGTTGATGTAGGTTCACTAACTGTAATTAACACAAGCACCATTCTTGTGGGGGATGTTAATAATGGGGTAGGCTGTGTATATGGGAAACATCTAACCTTTGCAAATTGTGCAGTGAACCTAAAAATGTGCTCTAAAAAATAACTTTTTTAAAAAGAATGAGTTAGGGTGGGAGTTCCCTAGTGGTCTAGAGATCAGGATTCAGTGCTTTCTCTCTCCTGTTGTTATTTAGTCGCTAAGTCATGTCTTAACTGTTTTGCAACTCCATGGACTGTAGCCTGCCAGACTCCTCTTTCTGTGGGGTTCTCCAGGCAAGAATACAGGAGCGGGTTGCCATGCCCTCCTCCAGGGGATCTTCCGACCCAGGGATTGAACCCGTGTTTCCTGCATTGCCGGCAGATTCCTTACTGCTGAGCCACCGGGGATGCCCTTCACTGTGCTGACTGGGCTTCAGTCCCTGGGTCCCTGGTCAGGGAACTGAGACCCCACAAGCTGCACCACATGGCCAAGAGAAAAGTGAGTACAGGAGACTTCTGGGAACATGAGGGACTTCTGGTAATAGAATGAGCTGACCATACTGAGAAATGTTTAGAAAACAAAAATTTTTTTTTACATTAATTATCTGGATTTGGGGGAAATGGAACAAGGGAAGAGATGACGATGGGGGAAGGAGGAAGGAAGGAAAATAATTGAGGCAGAAGAAAGAAAGGGAAGCCAGAGTGGTTATGTTGTTCAGTTGCCAAGTCGTTTCTGACTGTCTTCAACCACATGAAGAACACACCAAACTTCCCCATCCTTCACTGTCTCCTGGAATTTGCTCAGACTCACGTCCACTGAGTCGATGATGCCAGCCATTTCATTCTGTGTCATGCCCTTCTCCTCCTGTCCTCAATCTTTCCCAGCATCAGTGTCTTTTCTAATGAGTCAGCTCTTTGTGTCAGGTGACCACAAAGTTCTGAAGCTTCAGCATCAGTCTTTCCAATGAATATTAAGAGTTGATTTCCTTTAGGATTGACTGGTTTGATCTCCTTGATGTCCAAGGGACCCTCAAGAGTCTTCTCTAGCACCACAGTTCAAAAGCATCAATTCTTTTGTGCTTAGCCTTCTTTATGGTCCTGCTCTTACATCTGTACCTGACTGTTGGAAAAACCACAGCTTTGACTATCCGGACCTTTGTTGTTATAGTTGATGCCAACATAGCTCCCAGGGTTATGGACAGAATGCAGGGATGGGAGCGCTGAGGTTTTTCATTTCAGATAAGGATAGAAGATGCAACCTTAGACCCTACGAGGCACAGGATTGCTGGAGTGAATTCTTTTGGATGAAGACAGCTGGAGCCTGCAAGGGGAGTAGAAAGTCTATGCTGACCATCCAAGGGGAGTAGGAAGAAACGAAGGGCAAAGACATTGATGAGAAATCCCCAAGCCTGGACCACAGACAGCTATATGCAGCCTGAATTCATATTA